CTCTCTCTCTCTCCCTCTCTCTCACTCACCTCACGAAGCTGTAGTGATAGACGTGAACATAGGATGCCATCAGCAGCTGACAGTCAAACCGATCCATCATGCCTCCGTGTCCCGGAATCAGGTCGCCAAAGTCCTGCGCAGACAAGCGAACATTCGTCGGAGTCGCGACCGCCGACGGACGATTCGGAATGCGGAATGCGGAACACGAATTCCGAAATCGGAATCGGAATTCCAAAATCAAAATATTCTAGCAAGATGGAGATGGACTCCCGGGGGACGAATTCGATCGGAAGATGACAGAATTTTACGTGGGTAAACGACGATGAGATGGACATAGGAATCCGCAGTGCTGGTCAAAGGGATGAGGTTGATCTCCGGTGTATACTAACGGTAATCGATGGCAATTTATGATAATTATTGGTGTACAGTAGTTTCAACATGCGCGCGTACGTGGTTACAAGTTGTAATAATATGATTTGCTTAACATGTATAATAAATCGCTCAATCGCTCACTCGTATTGAGCGTCCCCTACCTCGCATCAGCACTACCTAGCAGAACCACTAATGGCACGCTTTACCCGCGCACCTTTAACCGCATGCTCTACCGGCGCCCTCTACCAACGCCAACTTAAACTTTGATCTTGAACGCTCGCTTGAATCCGCTCGCAAAGAAACCACCGAACGGACCGATGATGGAGGCAAACAACGCCATGCCGACGGCGTGAAGCTGGAACGGGAACAGCGTCATGCTCGCCGGCAGATGCAGCTGCGGAGAGAAAACAAGCGAACGTCACTCGGCGCGTCGGAAACGAGAAAAAAATCGAGTCGGAAAAAAAATCGGAAAATTTCGTTCCGGTCAAAGAAAAAAATTTCGATCTGAAACCAATAAAAAGACGGCCGCGCGACGAAGCGTCCCACGATGGAGGCGCCCCCTGGCAGCAAGAGAGGGTACTCACCGTGGTGAGGAAGACGCGCATGACGGCGGGGAATTGGAACTTCACGCTAGTGAACGTCGACGTGCGTTCACAGGTCATGTTGAGGTATCTGTAGCTGAAGTCTACGGGGCAGGTGAAGTAATCGTAGCGCACGAGCACCGCCGCCAGCTGTAACATACGTACAGGGGAAGGTGAGTGATGGAGGGAGAGGGGGAGAGGGGGAGAGGGGAGAGGGGGAGACATCAGGTATCTGTAGCTGAA